TGGCAATTACTAAAATATTAGGGAGTCTAAACTATAAGCGAGTGGTGTGGTTTTTTATTTAAGTTAAAAAGTCTCCAAACCGAGCCAAGCTAAACTGGTGGAGGGGTCGAGCAGACGCCATAGAGAACAGATTCAAGGTCGCCTCAACCCTTACAGAAGAAGGCAAGAAAAGGAGGCGACGCCTTAAACGGAAGTTGTAGCCGGGGAGTCATCGGAGAACAACTTCGGTGATCGTCCCTCTTTTCAGATACTAACGACGGTACCTTGTTTTTCCATCTTATACTTGCTAACCGCAGCTTATCTTATTGATTGTCAAATTCATGGCTTGGGAAACGTATTGATTGTCTGGATCCTAATTCAATTTGGGGTTTTTGTAAAATCTAAGCTACTTCTTGCTCTGATTCAATTTTTCGATATTTACAGCTTTTTTCTTTTTTTTTTTAATTTTTTCTTGGTGGGTTTCATATTTTAACTTCAAGATGTGTCCTTTTTATTGTTTCTATTGCCAATTAACCTTCTGGGCTAGTTAGCAATGGCATTTGTTATTCATTGGAGCTGTTTACTTTATTATGCTGTATATGTTCTAGGTTTTTGTATGAGAAACTATCCTTGTTACTTGATAAGTGTTATTGAATGGTCAGATGGCACTGCAAGAAAGTTTAGATAAATTTAAGAAGCAGCAAGAGAGGTGCCAATCAACCCTCACTAGCATTGCTGCCAAAGCAGGATCTTCTAAACCAACATCCTCTCAGAGGCTGGCTCCATCGTCTGCTCCAAATGGAAGGCCCCCTACACCTGCTGTCAAATTTTCAAATGATACAGAGAGACTCCAACACATCAACAGTATAAGAAAAGGTCCGGCAGGAGCCCAAATCAAGCGTGTGATTGACCTACTTTTAGAGGTTAGAAGCTGATTTACCACCCTTGATTAATGCATTCTACTATTCTTATATATTGGTGTTCCTAATGAATTGCCAATCAACATGTCAATGACTGCTTTTTTTGGGCAAAGCCTCTTCCCAGCTTTTAATTGAAACCATCGAAATTTTCTTCTGGTAAATGCATTACAAAACTCAGTTTCTAAGTATGTTTATTGTCCAGATTATCTGATACATAGTTGCAGCATATCACTTTATTCTATCTACAAATTTGGAACTTTGAAGAGCATTTTGGATTTCTACCCTGAAGTTTTCTCCTCTTTTAGCTTACATATTTGTGCCTCTTTTTTTTTTTTTGAAAAGCAAGGAAATTATTAATTAATTGAATACAAGGGTTACTCTAACCCATATACAAGCACATACTCATTAGTGCATGAATATGTGCCTTTTCTTTTGGCTAGGATTAGGAAAGGAATAGTCACATGTGCATGACTTTGGAGATCATCTTTTATGCTTTTATCTAGTAAACGAACTTGTCTTGGTTGGCCAAAAAAAGAGGGAAAAAAATGGACTTCTTAGAGGAAAGTTGGATAATGTCCAAGTGAAGTAAATATTTCCTTGAATTACGATAGTTGTGGTGGCACAAAAAATTATTTATTTTCTTATATCTGTCTTTGATTTTGTTAGTTGCAACTGTTTAGCTCTCTACTTTGTTAAATGAATTCTTTTTTTTTTTTTTTTTGGGAGTTTTTAATGATCAAATGGGAAATGAGTAACGGGTTTGAGTATTGGTAAGCCAAGGTAGGCTTAATATTGGTAGTCTATGAGTCTGTTTAGTGCAATATAAGTCTGTTCTTATTAACAAGACAAAGCGCAGAATATTTAATATATTAGTAAATAAGAGTTTACATGTAAGACAAAATGATGCTCCAAGTGATTATGAGCAAACGATAACTCATTCTCATGTTCATGTACGCAAATTGGGAAAATTGATTATTGTTTGTCATTACCTTTCTAAAATATTAATTTTTGCTTTTGTATCTTGTAATGTTAATCCAAAGGTTTGTCATGTGCATACCATCTCTATTGTTTATGCTGTTTATAATTTATAGAAAGCTTATAGATTAAGTGGTTGCTGGCAATCCATAACTCTAGCTTTCTCTCTTTTATTTATTTATTTATTTTTTTATATCTTGGCATGTTAGGAGTGCTTTCTTCAAAGCAATACTATGAGGCATAAAATTATTCTTGGAAGCCCAGTTTGTTGTCAAAGCCTGAAATCTCTTTGTTTCTATGATATATTGGTCTAAGAGTGTTGGGAAGATATTTTATTTTGGAATTAGAGCATTAGAGATGTCATGAAAATGTACCATATTATCCGTGTAGCATCATCATAATGATTTTTGAGGCAATTAACTTTGGAGTCTGTTTCCCACCAGAGAGTTGTAAAGGTAATAGTATAATTCTGTTTGCTGGTATCATTGGTAATTAATTTCCACCAATTTTCTCAGTGATATGATGGGTGGTTTTGCTCAAATTGCATTTAAAATTAATTCTGTAGTTCATTTACAGTAAATTAGAAAGTTTACAATGAATTGGTAACTGAGTTTTGCCTTCATATCCTGATGTGAATTCTATGGGTCACAAATGTTGTTTTCCAATAGTTGAGAAGTGTTGTCCATTTTACTTTTAATGCATGTTTGCAGACAAGGCAAGCCCTGACACCTGAGCAAATAAATGAAGCATGTTATGTTGATCTGAATGCCAATAAAGCTGTCTTTGACAGCCTGAGAAATAACCTGAAAGTGCACTATGATGGCAAGCGCTTCTCTTACAAGGTAACCTTTTACTCTTATAAGCCTTTGATACGCCACCAATTTTCTTATTTTGGTTTACAGGGGCAGCATTCTTATTTTATCTCTTAGATGAGAAACAACTCTTTTTTTTATGATTATTATTACAATTGTAGTCCAAGCATGATCTTAAGGACAAGAATCAACTCCTTTACTTAATACGAAAATTTGCCGAGGG